GCGCCAAACGGATATCCGGACGGTAGTGCAGAAAAGTATGGCGAAAATCTTTGGGTATTGGTAGATCGTTCCTCCATCGATCAGAAGCATTCCTTACAGTATTATGTTCGAAATCAGAATCGAAGAACAATTCTAATACCTGGTGGAAATGAAACTGAAATTGAGCTGTCTCTTCTACAACAACAATATCCGAATACTGCGCCTGATGAGCGATATTGGTATCATGCAACAAGTTGGGATCGAGCAAATCAAATTTTAGAGTTAGGTCCAAGCTTTTCTTCACATGCATCAGATTTAGCTCTGAATGGTGCATTTTATCTAAATCCCTACTATACCGATTGTTACGATTGGTTCACAGTGCGTAATTCAAAATTTAATGGATACCATGCCATGATTATTTACAAGTTTGATCCCTGGGAACTCAGCACTAAAGGAGCAGAGCATACATTCAACGAATGGAAGAGCGCTGTGCGACAACTCAGCACAACTAGACGCAGTGTTCCTTACCACTGGCTATACACTTATCAGAATCATGATCCTGAAAATGTTGAAAAACAGGGAAAAAATGTCCGAGTTCGTCGTACAAAGACGGGTGAACGGGCGAGACAGCTGGTGATTTTCGATGAAAAGCTGTGTACTAAAATTCATCACTGTCTCGTCGGATGTGTATTCTATCAAGACATCCAGCGCCGAGAGAAGAAAAATGAGCATTCTCCTAGCTTTCGAGGGAAAATGGATCGTCGAAGTCGTGCCAAAACTCACAAGTGTTTACCTTATCCTCATGTTCGGACATCACGGACTGAGAAACGATGATCACAAGCAAAAACATTCCGCTGGATGAAAGAAGTATTGCATAACAAAGCGAGCACCTTCGAGACATCCTAACCGACATCAGAAAACTGCATACGAATTGTATTCGGCATCACAATCTGTGCCATATTCTGTTGAAATTCAATTTTAGTCGTTTCAGGGGTGTGGGTGTCGCCGGGTGTGGGTGTGGGTGTGGGTGTGGGTGTGGGTGTGGGTGTGGGTGTGGGTGTGTGGGTATGGGTGTGGGTGGGTGGTGAGGAGTGTGGGTGAGTGTGGGTGTGGGTGTGGGTGGGTGTGGGTGTAGATTATGAAAAGCAAAACATCCACACCCACACCCACCCCACCCTCACCCCTACAAACACCTACACCCACACCCACACCCACACCCACACCCACACCCACACCCACACCCA